TACGTTTTCCCAATAAAAGGCCTGTACAAAATGCAAGTACGCTTATATACACAAAATTAAAATTAAATATCCAATATTCACATAAATTCTACCTACAAAAGTTTATAAAAATCACACAAAAATAAATATGCCATGTTCTTGCAGCTTTTATAATTAATACAACTGCGCTTTAATGGCACATGTCGTTATCTGAGTAAAAATGCAGGAATTTATTTTGCTTTTTTAAATAAGTAAGCAAAGAAAACCTAAATTCGATTTGCTTTTTCTCTTTTACTGTGAAGAGATAATAAACTAAATACATAGTAAAATATTACAACGATTGCAAATGTTTCCGATTTAATCGCTATCGTTGTCAATTCGTTTATTTTTTGAAGCATTTTTATCATGTACTTATTTATGTTTGCATACTATTATTAAGAATGTGGTCGATAAATTTTATAATAATACGAGAGGATTAAACACTGAGCTTATATAAGTTGAGAAACCGGACCTCTTTCTTAAACACTCATTACTTTTTAAACAATAAATTATTTTCATTAACACTGTAATAGGGAGAAAAAAATTACATAAAAACAAAAATTTGCAAGAACAATGAAAACGTTAAAACAAAGTTTAAAAGAATTTCTTCATCTTGAACACAGGGTGTTCCACACCACTATAGTTTCTCTCTATAATTCAGTTAGAAAATTTAACCACCAGTTGATATAAAAGACCGATAATAGTATGAGCCCAACAGCAGGTTTAATAAGTTTTCTAAAAAGTGTTTTTATTATTTTATTTACTCTAATAATTCATACTGTTTAGTATACAGTTAATAAACACAATCATTTTGGTACTCAAACTTGGCCATTTGCATTTACTGTTATGGGAGCTATTTTCATACTCTTATCGATTCCAGTCCGTTATGATGTCAAAGTACAGATAAATTAGCTATTAATTGGAGTGTTTCAAACTTAAAGAACTTAACACTCTTTATAACACATATATTTTTGTAGGTTTTTTAATGAAATTATGGAGTAACTACACAGGAGTGGGCCACCCTGTATACTTTAGATTACATATATACAATTGATTTTCTAAAATAAAAAACATATAATTAGAGAATTTGTTTTCTATTACCTACGTGAATTACAAAGTCAAAATGCACTGTTTTTGTTTTCAAATAAAAATATTTAAAAAAGGGGTCCGCAAGTTAACTATAATCTAAGTTTAGGAATTTATCTTTGGATTGTAAAAAATTAGTAGCATCTTATGTCCTACTGATAGTACAACGAAATTTTCAGTACTTTTTAAAAACCTTCTATTCACACAGTACATCCACCGAATGCCATGATAAATATATACAAAAAAAAAACACGACTAGTCATTATATATGTGGCTACACGGCTCAAAAGTATAAATTGTTTATATTACACATTTAAAAAAATCAATTAATGCACGAAAAATTGGACGACTGAGCAATAATAAATAATTAAAATTATATACCGTCGCATCTTTTAACNATATTTATACTCTTATCAACCCCAGTCTAAAGTTTAAAGCACTAAATAAAAATTATCTAAAAAAGTATACAAATATTTAAGCTAACATAAGAAAAGAAATAATAATTCATTAAAAACTCTAAAATACTTAACGTTAATTTAAGAAAACTTGCCTTCGACGTAGAGTTCTGTAACCCAATGGGAAGTCCCTCCAAAAGGGCGTGAACTGCTAAAGCAACTAATAAACTTAAATAACCGACTGGAGTTACTGCACAAGGTTCCTTGTGAGTAACGTGACACAATTGCGAAGGTATTTCATCCCACGTGTTATCGACAAAATTTGGATTGTATGGTGGTTGTCTGCCTCTTAACAGAGGGTCAACTTCAATTGTACCATAGCGAGGATCTAACCGAATGTTTTGGTCCAAAGGAGGCGCAATAACAGTACTTTCACGAGCTGATGAGTGCGCATGATCGTGATTTGCACCACCAATAAAAAAATGAAGAATTTCGTCAATAAGAAATATGAAGAAAAATCCTCCGCAAAATATTAATTCCACATAACCGGAATATTTTTCAAATGACTGTCTAAATTCAGACAACATATGAATGAAAGATGTCGCCAGTAAAACACCACTACCGAAGCATAAGAGAGAAGAAAATAAAAGGGGTCGCTGGTGGAACGCTGTAGTCGAAAACCACGCGGGTAACATTCCCATCAACATACTACTCGACCCCAAAACAACCACAGAACATACTTTTGCCTCAAACACGTTCATTTTCTGTTTAAAATATGTACGAACAATTCAAGTGTTAGCAATTCCTTTTAAAAACTAAACGAATATTCATTCTACTAAATCATTTTATAATAAGTTATTAAAAATAGCAAAACAGGCGTTTTCGCAGATAAAATGACTGTTCTTATCTCGTTTGAAGGAAATGTACAGTGTGTCCCAATCACATATACAAATAAAGATAAGACGCACGAGAAATAAATAACACAAGGATAAATAAATACTTCTTTTTTAATACTTCTCGTTAGTTGATTTGAAAAGAATACAAAGTTCATAGCTGATGTTATATCCATCGCAATTATTACATGAAGTATATATTTTAGTTTTTGAAATAAAAACGGGACTACATTTCTTCACCAGATTATTCGCACATCCTACAGTATCTATTTTACTAATTTTGCATTTTTCAAGTTCTTTAATTAATGTAAGTTTTATGTTTGCATCACATCCTATATATTGTTGCATTTACAGTTATTATCTACCATATTAATTATTTATCATGTTTACACACTAACTACATTGTATAGATTACGATCTAGTATATTCCATCTATATTCTTTTATTCTTTGATTAGTAGAGATCTCTTAGTCTCATGTAATTTTTGCTTTCAATAAAAAACTTGAAGTTGATAATGGACAGCAAAACCCATAAAAACCATTGTGTCACATAAATGCCTGGCACTAATACCACATTTTGTTTCAGTTTGTTTATGTTATAAAAACAATTTCCAAAACACTTCAGTTAAGATGTATTAAAAAAATAAAAAATATATTCATAAATAATGTAATCAAAATGGGATAGAGCTTTTAGTATATTCTTCAATCATTTATGTAACTGAGACACGCTGTATAAATAATTCACACCCTGACCTAATAAACTGATAAGATAATATGGGTGATAGCTTAAATATTATTATAAATAACTTACAAATTTTGGTTCAATAAATCAACGAATCGTCAGGCAGAGGTAGATTGTTTTTGTAAGACAATTTTCTTGATGAAACTCTGATAAGGTTGTTTTTGGGGAGCTGAAGCTGGAAGATAATGCTTGCCAGGATGAATAACAGTGACTGGATTCTCAAAAATGTCTCTCAATTCTTCTGACATCACTATTAAAAATAAAATATGAAGCAACAAAGAATGCATTATTTGTTTAAATACCTCTTGGAATAATATCATCTTGTTCACCAAAAATATGTAGTGAAGGCAATTTTATTTTATCTGAATAGTAGTTTACATGTGGCAAGGAATAGGATGGAAATCCAGCTGCCATAATGGCAAAACTAAAGTGATAGCTCAACACTGTAACAGAAATATCTTAATAACTATGAAAAAACAATGAATAATTTCTCTTACGTCCCAGCTGCTGCATCGAACATAAAATTCCCACAAAACATGCTCCTTGAGAAAATCCTAGAATGCCATCAAAGGGGCCAAATTCTTTAAATGCTTTTTCAACTAAAATTAAACTTTCTTCAAAACCAACAGCAGGACCTCCCTTGACAGTGCCTCGAAAACTGTTATTTTCCTTGTTGAACCACCAACTGTATTGCTCTAAAATGACACCAAAACTTGTTATTTATATTATCATAAAACAGAAGGTACATCATTATTAAGTTACCCTCATTTGTACCATCTCCTACGTCTGAGACTATTTCCTTTTCATTATTTTCATTTACTACTTTATGAGGTGCAGTAATATAAGTAAATTGTGCCCACTTTTGGACAGTTTTTCGAAATGAACCGGTTTTTTGCCGAAACGTCTCTCCGTTTTGCCTATATCCATGCAATGCTAATATTTTTAATTTTTCACCAGAGTTTTCAGGCGACATATTATTACCTGAACAAATTATAAATTTTGCCTTATTTTCAAAGGTAAAGATTTTGCACGTGAACTTCTCATGTGAAGGCAGCAGACATTCCATAGATTACACATAAGTCTGAGGTTACGTCAGGTTACGTAGTCATTCATAGATAAGGTTATCGTCATAGAGAAGGGTTAAGAGACATAAGAATAAAGGGTATCTGTGTATAAAAACTCTATTACCTTCAATAGACCATAGACGCGTTCAGTATATATTTCTTTAATCTATGGATGCATTAGCATGTTGTCATTTTAAAATAGGTTATCTACGAAAAGAGGTTAGAAATACATGGCGGTACATGGCTTTGCTTGGGTTAGATTGGAATAAGTCATCCTAAGTTGTGATTTCTAATAAACGCCTATTAAAAATAAAAGGATAAATAAATCAAATTAGAAATGGTTGTATTTACGTGCAATCATTGTGGTGAGAGTGTACATAAACCGGCAGTAGAGAAGCATTATAATTTTGCGTGTCGCAAATATAAGGACTTAACATGTGTTGATTGTTTCAAAGATTTTCGGTAAGTTTTTTTGACTTACTTGATTAAATTCATATTCATTATACCACTTTATTTGTAAGGGGTGAAGAATATTCAGTTCATACAAAATGCCTAACTGAGGATGAAAGGTATGCTGCTAAAGGTTCTATGCCTATTGGAGTTCAGAAAAAAGGTGAAGCAAAGCAGGATGCATGGGTGGAGATGATAAGAGCTATTATCCAGGAAGATATTAATATGAAGCCTCAAAATAAGAATTTGCTGTTAACCATTTCAAAACATAATAATGTTCCCAGGAAAAAGCAAAAGTTTCTTGTATGTAGTCAATCCTTTTCATATTACATTTTAATAATTGGTTTATTTCTTTTCTTAGAATTATATTAAAAGTGCAACAGGCGGTAAAGTATCAGAAAATACAATTTCTGATGTTTGGGACATAATAGAAAGCTATAAGGAAAAACATGTTAAATTGAATAAAACAAAAAATGAAAATGATAAAAAAGAAGAAGAAAACCATTCCAATTCTGAAACAATTAAAATGAAAAATGGAGAAAGTGGAGCTGAAAAAGCACCTAAAACGACTAAGCGAAAAGATGTGAATGACTCCATTGAGGTTGCTTCTCCAAAGAAAAAATCTAAAACTGAAAAATTGAAAGCAGCTAAGGAAACTGAAACTGTAGAAGTTGAAAAGAACTCTTCAGAAATTTGTAGAGTAAACCAAAAAAGAAAAGAAAATGATATTGACGGTGATAATGAAATAAAACAAAAGAAAAACAAAACTTTGGAAACAAATTATAAATTAGAAG